TCCAGCCCCAGGTGTGTTGGTGGGGGGTTGCCTACCCTTGGATGGATCCTGCCATCCAAGGGTAGGCAACCTTTCCACTTTAAGGGCTGAGGGACTTCAGCTCCCAGAATCCCAGGAGCTATTGGCCAACATGGAACTATTGGCCAACAAGGCTGAGGCTTCTGGGAGCTGAAGTCCCTCGGCCCTTAAAGGGGAAAGGTTGCCTACCCCTGTGCCATACAGTTGAAATCCTGCAGTATTCCACTACTTAAGAACAGTGTGATAATCATCAAAGAGTATTTCCACATATGCACGAATGCCAATGGACCAGGTGGAAGTACATCTATCTCAAACACCTTGCACTATGGAAGTCTCAGGGGAATGTAGGCATTTGTCTTGTTGCTGTTAGCATTATTGTGGTTGCTGCCACACTACAGAATTAATGCATTTTGACATCACTTGACAACTGTCATGGCATCCTATGGATTCCTGGGATTTGTTGTAGCACCAGAGCTCTCTGACAGAGAAGGCAAAATACCTGTATTTCCCAAAACTACAAATTCCATAATTCCATAGCATTGAGCCATGGCAGTTAAAGCAGTGTCAAAACTGCATTAATTCACAAGTGTAGATGCAGTCTCTGTGGTACTTCATACTTTATGTTCTGGGTATTGTTACCTCTAACATACTAGTACTCTATCATGATGGCCCACACAAACACAAGCTTTATTACTTTCTGATATCATTACAATTGAATTGGGAGTGGTGTTAATGGATATAAATCTTTCCATGTGAAGATGAATAATTCTGAATTTTTCTCCTTGCTGCAGGAGAAAATGAATATATCCATGGAGTTTCTGACCTTTATTTGCATATCCTGAAGAAATACACACAGGGCTTTGCATGTTTCTGGAAAGTGTTTTGTGTTAAACGGTGGATTTTGCAGAAAGTCCATATTTTTTGTGCAAAGAAAACCACATGTGAATAATGGGCAAAAGAATATGTAGAATTCTCACCTCTGTGTTGTTCTTCCTGACTACATTTCTCAGGTGTTGAAAAGCTCATTTTTCAGCCAGGAAACACAAAACAGAAAGTATTCTCTTTTTCCCTAGTGGGGACCAGGGTCATTTTCATTCCTGCATGCAGACTAAAATGATCAGATGAAAACAATTACATAGGACAGATGGGCCAGTTGTTGTTAGCTGCTCTCAAATTGACTTCAATTCATGGTGACCCTGTGGATGAGACATCTCCAAGAGCCCCTACCCTCTATCTCTCTCTTCAGGTCTTGTAGGCTCAGGCCCATGGTCTCCCTGATTGAATCAAGTTGTGGTCTTCCTCCCTTTCTTCTGTCTTCCACTTTACCCAGCATTATTGACTTTTCTAATCAGTCTTTCCTTGTATAGTATGTCCAAAGTATGACAACCTCAATTTAGTCATCCTGGCTTCCAGGGAAAACTCAGGCTTTATCTGTTCTTGGACCCATTTATTCATCTTTTTGGCCACCCACGGTATCCTCAGCACTCTTCTCCAGCACCACATCTCAAATGAGTTGATTTTTTTTCTATATGCTTTCTTTGCTGTCTAGCATCCACATCCATACGTGATGATGGGGAATACAAAGGGTTGGATGATCCTTATTTTAGTATCCACTGTTATGTTTCAGTGTTATATTCAGATTGCCAATAGCTGTGTAAAATTATGGCCACACAGAGAGTAAAATTCTACAGTTCTAAAAGAGAAGGGTATTACATTGGATCACAAGGCATTATAAGAGTTTTCTGCAAAGTCTAGAGGCAATGGGTTGGATGAGTGAAACAGGCATGAAAGAGAGGGAAGAGGCAGCTTCCCCTAGTTCTCAGGTTATTGCTTTATCCTCCTCACCTATTCTGTCTCTCAGCCACTACAAGAGCCTTGGTGGAACACTGCTTTCTGACCTTTCTGATAATTACCTAACACTCTTGCAGAACATATTAAAAAACCTGGCCTTACTTTGAAGCTATGATCTTTATCAAAAGGGGAAATATGGAATAGAATAAAACCAGTCAAGGAACATCTTGCTTTTGGAAAATGAAAAGATGTTCTGGATAAAAAAAGCCATTAATCAACATTGCCTTGTCAATTTACAAAATTTCTTTGCCTGCTAAGCCTACCAGCCTGCATATCCCTTAAAGGCTGGAGCAGATCAAAGACATGGCAAGCACAAACTCAGCTGTAGTCTCCTGAAAAATGAACTCAGCTTAACTTTTATGGCTTTCATAATTATGTAACTCATTTTCAGGTGTAAATAATTCAGCACAGATGAAAGGCACAATGCAGGAGTGCGGTAGCTGTCCCTTTGCTCATCCTAACGATAAGATATGAGACCATTAACCTTTGCAAACAATTTTAGAGGGGAGAAATCTCTCTCTCAGGCAAGCTAAGCTAACCCTTCATTTCCAGCTGACATTTGTTTTATTTTTAATCTAGGCGTTTGTCTAATTAAGGAGATAGATTGGCAGCTTAATTTTCATATAAACTCTTTAGCATCAATGGGGTTGCATTTGGCAAACCAAACTAAGATTTATTAAGGCAATAAAGGAAGCACTTCATAAAAATTTAAATGCCTGCTTCACGGCATCCTTTATATGCATGGGGGGATGCTCTGGAAATCTCTTAAACTGAAGAAAGGTATCTGTAGGGCACTTAAAGCCTTTTCAGCCTGTGTGTGCATGTGAGAGAGTAACAAGGAGACTGAGTTGCCACACTGAACTGTGTCTTCCACTTTTCCCCTGAGAACTCAGCAAGATTCTGGATATCTGCTGGCTTTGCACCTTTTCATGCAAAAGGGTGCACTGGTTCAAATTAATTGACTCATTTGCAAGGGCCTCAAAGATGACGATAGGAAGAAAGCAGATTAGATTCTCTCTCTTGTGCTGCATCATCTGTTTATAGCAATATAGTAAATCAAAACCAGAAGAACCCAGGCACATTTTCTGCCTGTACTGCAGGAAATGATGGGAAAGCTTTAATTGACCCCTTGAGAGACCAAAGTAGAAGATTTTTCAGAAAAGGCTAAGGCTTCAATGCAGGGATATGGCTTTCCCCTTCACATCCAAGGAATGCATTAAGCGGGGTTCCACATGATGGCTCCAAATGTCCTCCAATCCAAATTCTCACATAAATAATTTGGAAAAAGCTACTTGTCTGCATTAATTCTTTTAATGATGACTGGTAATATTGTAGATATGTGGTGAGCAACAGCAAAGGATTTGGGGGACCCACCATATTGTCCACCTCTGTGGGCTGTTCTCCCCCTTCCCCCCTTTTTTGAAAAAATCAGAGAGTGGGTAGGGATGTCTTTTGACAGGAGAAACATGCTTCCTGAAGGTATCTGGAGGTAGAAGTTATTTCTGATTTATGGTGACTCTAAGGTGAACTCATCACAAGGTTTTCTTGACAAAATTTGTTTGGAAAGGGTTTGCCTTTGCCTTCTTGAGGGAGTAATTTGTCCAAGGTCATCCAGTGGGTTTCCATGGCTAAACAGGGATTCTAACCCTGGTCTCCAGAAACTTAGTCCAGTGCTCAAACCATTACACTATCCTAACTGTCTTTTCCCAATTGAAATGGATACCCCCTCAAAAGGCCTTGGTGAGCTTTATGTGGCCAGGGGTGACCTTGGGCAAGTTCCCAACCCTCTTTTAGATCCTTATGTTTGCTGAAGAAATGCTTCTTTGTCAGGTAAATCAACAAATCATCACACTAATCTATTCTGCATCCCTTCATTCAGATCAGAGCTTGGAAAAGTTACATTTTTGTACTGTAACTTTCAGTTACTAGCCATGCCAGTAAGGATTATAGGAATTTTAGTCTAAATAAGTCCTTTTTCCAAGATCTGATTTAGGGTGTTTATTTATTTATTGTATTTATACCCCTCCTCTTCAGAAATGCTCTCAGAACCACTTACAACTTGGTAATTAAACAGTTTCCTGTCCACAGGCTTTCAATACCAGCCAAAATCCTGGAATTGGAGATGTGAAGTTACACACAGGCAAAATTATGAAACGTTCCCTTCTCACCAATCCCACCAAAAACTTGCCTGTTAATTCCTTTTGCCTATCCCATTCCCATAACCTGCACTCCCAAGTTACTGTCTGATGGAGAGCAAGAGAGCAGCAGAGAAGTGTCAAGATATGCTCTATAGCTGAATGCACAGCAACAAAGCATCCTCCAGGAACTCCTGGGAATAGAAGTACTAACTAGATGATGGTGTCAGCACTGAGCATCCAAGTGTAGGAATATAGCTGGAAGCTTCCTCTCCCACTTCCCTATCTCCACTGGCCAAAACACTGGCATTTTGGGGAGAGTGCATCAGCTAAAAGTTGTGTTGAAGGAGCTTGATTATTGTGTAAGGCTGGTAGACAATTTGGACCTCCACAATAAAAATTCCTTATGCAGGTGGCAGTTGGACTTGTGCCTGCAAAGCCACTGTCAGAATGTCTACGGCCATTTGGTGGTTATAACTACCCTAGTGCACTTTTGTGCATATTTTTAGCACATTATTAGGCTTTTGTCTGCATGGGCCAAAGGGCCCATTTTCTCCCTGTTTTGGAGATGACCTGTTCAGACAATGCATGGTTCAAACTTCATTTCTAGTATGAACAGTTTGGATGAGGTCTGGCATATTCAGCACCAGAACCAGAGTGCAATAACCTTAACACAAATTTTAAAAACCTAACTCCATTCCCATGCCGGGATGGCTGTCTACACATGCGTCCCACTGAGCTACCCTGCACATCCAACACTGTCACCAGTCAATTGCTCTGAGGTCATAACAAAGCACGGTGATATGTGATCATTGATGGGTAGCTCATTCTGACCTCAGAAGCAAGCAACCTATGCCAATGGCAGATCCACTAGGCAGCTCAGCAGGATGTGCATTCAGACAGCCACTATCGCAGGGAAATGAAGTGCCAGATAATAGGGGGAGGTCAGGGCAGCTCTGGGGCCAGGATACTCAGCTAGAGTATCCTGACTAGTGCAGATAAGACCTAGAATAGTCCTAGAATCAACAAGAAAGAGATTTCAACGCCCATTCTCACAGTCATTTTATAAGGTCCCAAATTGTATTGGTGATGCACACACACTCTCTCTCTCTCTGCATGCAAATGTCCTTTTATGTTCATTCTGTGAGTAGCTGTACAGTATCTCCTTGTACAATACACACCTCCTCACTCCCGCCCTACAAGACTATTCTAAAGGGCAATCTCATGCTCCATTGGCAATTTAGTGGATGGTAGAGGGCAGTGGTCATTTAGCGGCTGAGAAAGGTTGTAGGACACTTGGGGGGGGAGAGTATCTGTCTTCTCCCAGATGCCCAGTTCAATGGAGATCCAGGACAGGACAACTGCTGTTTATTCCTGGGTGCATCCAGATGGTTCCTGTGTTCTTTGTGCCCTCCCCAGGCTACTAAATAGCCAAAGGAACCTGCACCTCCCTTGCCAAACAGGCTTGTATGCCTGGGAATCTGGTGGCAAGGCAGAAGTTCACCGACACAATGGAGGATTCACCTCACACAATGGAGGATTTTGGCCTACTTGTTTCAGTTTCAGTAAGCCAGGGATGTACTCATAGCCATCAGCAATCATTCTGCCACCTTTCCAGTTGGAGCTGACATGATTTTGGATGCTCTGAAAGGGCAGTTATTTAATTTTCAGTTATTTGTCATTTATTATTTTTGCTTTTTTAAAAAACACCAAGCAAAATGCTGCTTCAAACACTCAAAGAATTTGGCTGAATTTGAGTACTGATTGAACTGGTGAGAGGTTTTCCATTTGCTGCTCTTCCTCAGGTACCAAAGTGGGCTGGCTCTGATTCCAGTCTGGAAGATTAACTTGCTGCTGTGTCATTATACTTTATGCCTGATTTCTAGACTCAGTGGTAAGGTAGCCATTTGAGGGAAACAGGCTCTCAAAAGGGGAGCTGATATTCCAGTACACAAGAAGTAGATGCTATTTACTAGCAGGTATGTGCATTAGCATCTCTGTGCAATCTTGGTGTCCAGGAAGTCTACTCAAGAGAAACAAAATACCCCACCACAATGCACAGCATCTTCTACAGATGCAATAGCACCACTGTAGGACTGAGTCACATGGAGGATGGTGGTGGCACTGATAGTGATACACACTAGGTTGATCCTTAAGGATATTGAAAGCAAATGATCTTTAACATAGGTCTCTTTTACAATGGTGCCATATGAATTATTATTATGTAGTATCTTATTAAATTACTATAAAATTTTCCTGGATTTCTCCCAAAAACATAATCCTGAATTGTCTTTCCATTGAATCATTATAGTGATTACTTTTTAAGCCAGAAATCCTAGAATCTTCTTTAGTTTTATGGCTGAAGTTTTATTTCTTTACACTCTTTGCCCCTGCCCTGTGTCATGCAATTTATGTTCTTAAAAACATACAGAATGCCATTAGGTGCTCCAACAGCAGATGAATCAATTCTCCAATCATCTTTTATCCTTCAAGACAGCTGTGGTTATCTCTAAAAGACCACATTTCTCCACACTTATCTCCATCAGTGTGCACCTGCCTTCAGTCAGCAAAAGGCTGTAATGAAGCTATTAAAAGCCAATGCAGAGCAGTGACACCTCTTCAGCTGAGGTTATAGAAGATGAAAGGACAGAAAACATCAAAGGTTTGTTCAGATATAAAAATCACAATCACCCAAGAGGCTTCCAAAGGAAAACAGGAGAGCTCAAACCAAATGGTGCAGCAGTTGTACAGTGAGATTGACAGGCACCTACAGGATTTCTTGGTTGTCTTTTCAAGGGGTAACACATTAATTGATAAGGGTGATCTGGATATCTTTGGAACTGCTGGTTCTCAAAATTGGAAAGAAGCAAGTTCACACAAAAAAAAACATTCCTAAGGAAAGGCACATTTCTTCCTAAATAGTTCCAGATTAGTTGGACATGACTGCAATGAAGAATGGCCTAATGGGTGTCAGCTGCCAGCCGTCACACACAATATCATTTCTATCACCTGAAACAGTATTTTTCTATGGAGTCAATTCAGATATTTAACTGCTCCTCATCAGTGTAAACAAATCAAGGCATAATATACATGTATTTGTAAACCAGCTTGAAATGGCATCTTAATTGTGCTAGGAAGCAGAATAATATAAAACTAAGTGTTGCTTTAAGCTTAACTCACATGATTACCAGGCTTCTGTGCTGTCATTCTTACAAGCAGATCCTGCAATCAGAAATAACCAGTTTTGCAAATTGCTAAGTACCTCACACATTTAAGTGGTTTGTTGTATCGTGCAAAGTGGCATGTTGTGCTCATGGTGAATAACTGACATAATATATTCATTTTATGCAGTAACACCAGCATTGTGACAGTAAATTACAGCTTTACTGCAATAAGAAGCAGAATTTAAGCAACATAAAACCCATAAAACTCCTTCAAACAAAGCTTTCCTTTTCCCATATACTAATTACTAGTAAAACAAAATGGAGGCACTACTGCCAATGTGATAATATACAGAGATAGGCAATATGAGTATGAAGGAACTAGATAAGATCCTGAGTGCAAATATATATAATTGGTCCAAAATACATTGCAGAATATTCCAGTTTGCTTTAAATGCCCTGGCTCAATGCTAGGGAATTCTGGGAACTGTAGTTTTGTAAAACATTTAGCCTTCTCTTTAAGACAGTTTTGGTGCCACAATAAACTATAGTTACCAAGATTCCCTAGCACTGAGCCAGAGCAATTAAAGTGGTCTCAAACTGGGTTATTTCTGCAATGTGTTTTGGACCATTGAATACCAAAATCAGGATAATCCATGCCATGGTATTTTTATTTCTATGGGTGCGAAAGCTGGATAGTGAATAAACTGATAAGGAGAGAATCAGCTCATTTGAAATGTTGTGCAGGAAAAGAGTTTATTGGCAGACTGCCAAAATGATAAATAAATGGATCCAAAAGTAAATCAAGTCTGAACTGTCCCTAGAAGCCAAGATAAAACTAAGGCTATCATACTTTGTACATATCAAAAAATTACATGACTCATAACAAAAGATAATAATGCTTGCTGAAAAGAAAGGCAGTAGGAAAATAGGAAGACTGTATTATTGGTAGATAGACTCAAACCAAGAAGCCATGGCTCTAAGTCTGCAAGACTTTAGCAAGGCTGTTAACAGGGTATCTTGGAGGTCTCCCATTCATAGGGTCATCATAAGTCAATGCCAATTTGGTGGTAATTAACTAAAATAAGGCAATTTGTTCCTGAATTAGAGACGGTAAATCTTGATTTTTCTGATTTCCCATGGATGTTGAGAACAATAAAACTGTTTTTCATCCCACAGCCTTCAGGATGAGTACAAAATTAGTTGTCTGGGCTGATGGTAATCTAACCTCATCTCCCACTTAAACTATTGTCCATCTCTTGACATCCTCTTCCATTGGTTGTCAGATCTCTATAACCCTCTTGAGAAAGGTGGTCAGCTCAATGTGGCTAACACAAGAGGTATAATTCTAGCAGAATATTTTACTTTGTTTGATATTTTTACTTTTAAAGTACAAGATGC